TGCCTTTTAAGTGTTAGTAGAGGGCCTCTGCGTCTACCACGCAGTGGCTTCCTCCACACGTCTGTGCCCGATGTTGAAACAGAGTCAAGAAGACCGGGGATTGGATCGGGCGCAGGTATAGCGCGAGTGCACCAGCTGCCGCTGCCCGGAGCGTCATTTGCAAAGTGTCGGCCCCACCCCACCCCTCGATACCTACTACTCACAACACAAGAAGTATTATATCAAGCATGTCTATTCTACGTTTTTCTGTGGACTTGGTTTTCTCGACACAGAACCATGGCAAATAGTACCTGATGCAATGGGACTTTGGTGAGGAAACCCGATTCGAGACAGATACCATCTGTTGGACCGTGAAAAAATTGTCAGTCAGCACCAAACAGTGTAGAATTTGACTTAAACTGCACCTAATGTACCTGAAAAGCCATAAACTTCCACTGCTTGCGTGCGTGCGTGCGTGCGAATGCACCTAATTAATTGAAACGACACACGCACTTCGGATGCGTACAGTGCAAATGACAGGTGAAAATTGCTAGCACATTTATCTATTTTCACTTTTTACTGGTATTGCTACCCTGGTCACATACCCTTTCGTTCTCGCTCAGAATAACCATTGAGAGATATTAAGTTCAGGAGGAAGGAAATGTTGTCTTCCGACGAAACATCCTATTGTATTGGAAAGAGTTTCTGAAGCCTCGACTCAAATGGAATGGAAGAGAAAACGCTAAGCTATTATAACCAACATTTTGTTGAAAATGGGAAAAGTAGGAAAAATCCGGCATATATATCCGGATTTTGCCAATAGATTCCATGATGGAATCCGCTTGGATTTGGTACTAGGGTTGACGTGAATCAAGTAGACTCAGAACGGCTGGAGTTGCCCATGACTACGGTTGTCCGTTCTTCGTCTGCTGGGACAATCTTAATTCCATCATCGCTCTTGAATTCACCAATGGCCCTTACCGTCGTCAGAAGACAGTAAAACCAGTGAGACATTTCGATTGTCACAATAGACCAGTTTTTGTGACAAGACGGACGAACCATTGACTTGTGAGTCATGTTAGGTTCGTGCGCGAAGGAAAATGGAGAAAAAATGACAGCCTCCTGTGCTAGAGGGGCCTAGGATCAAATCCAGGCGGATTCCATCATAGAATCCTACTGAAAAAATCCGGATATATATGGTGGACTTATACCGGATTTTGTCCACCTGATCTGCACGTGGTACTAGGGAGATAATTTGCGTAGATCGATAGAGTCTGTTTCGGGATTATTCTGCCGTCACTCAGTCAATCATAGACCTGAGCACCAGCTAGTACACGCACGGGTAGTCCACAGACGGCGTACAGCAGATGGGTCATAATCATTTAATCAAACCAAATGCCTCAGTACCTCGCCACCTGTAATTCTCTGTCACCGCAGATCCGGTAATTACTCAAAACCTCTTGAAAGAATGCCCGAACTGCAGTGACAGAGAATGAGAGGTGGCGGGGCACTGATGAACTTCGCCTCGATTAAATGCTTATGATTCAAATTCTGAACACAGTATGTGGACCATCGGCACGTTTACTAGCTGGATATTTGTGTTCGTGTGCACGATGTACAGACAGGGCCAAGAAGACCAGAGGCGGGATCGGGCG